GAATTTAGAAACTTGACTATATCTTATCCAGAGAGGTGTTCCCTCTTGTATTTACATAACAGCAGAGGTACCTAAGAGGAGATACCAAATTTCCCTCAAAATAAAGCTCTGAATCCACCCAAAGCTCTGCCTCAAAGAATACAAAAGAGATTAAATGATCTGAGAAGAATGAATGAGTGGGGATCCAGAGATGGCTACTTGGCCTCATCAAGGTTGGTCAGTGGGTAGCAGGGTGGCAGTGAGCAGAGAATCCGTAAAGTCAGCATCAAACCATCAATGCAAAACTTCCCATTTACTCATTCCCTAACTTCTGGGCTCCTAGCATCTTTGCCACTTTACTCTAAACTGGAAACCCTCTGTAAATATTTCTTTTTCAACTCAAAGCCTCTGGGTTTTCAGGAATTTCTATTAAGAATTTTAAATTACTCAGGGAGGGGCGCCTGGGTGGCGCAGTCGGTTAAGCGTCCGACTTCAGCCAGGTCACGATCTCGCGGTCCGTGAGTTCGAGCCCCGCGTCGGGCTCTGGGCTGATGGCTCGGAGCCTGGAGCCTGTTTCCGATTCTGTGTCTCCCTCTCTCTCTGCCCCTCCCCCGTTCATGCTCTGTCTGTCTCTGTCCCAAAAATAAATAAACGTTAAAAAAAATTTTTTTTTTAAATAAAAATAAATTACTCAGGGAAATGAGGAAGGAAGGAAGGAGGGAAGGGGAAGAGGAAGGAGGAGAAGGAGGGAGGAAAAGGAGAGAGGGAAGGAGTAAGGAAGGTCATGTGGTAAAATATTTTAAGAATTGCTTGGTGCAGAAGGGAATCAACATGCAGACCTGGGACTGCTGTCCTTGAGAGGACCTGCTTGCTGGGTTGAATCCCTTTGATCGTGTCTGGGGGCTTGGGTTTCAGAAGAGTTGTCACCATTCTGAGGATTGGTGGGGATGGCTTGCTGTGCTTGTACTGTGCAGGTAGCGTGGTTTGTGCTGAGCCCCTGCTTTCCTTCTGGGAAAGGAATTCCGTCTGGAATATTGGTGTATGCTGAATGGAAGGTGCCTATGTATCAGCTCCCAGTGATAGCCCTGGGCACTGGGTCTCTGGTGAGCCTCCCTGGTAGGCAATATTTCACATATGTTGTTCTAACTCATTGCTGGGGGAATTAAGTATGTCCAGTGGTCTCCACTGGGAGAAGACTCTTGAAAGCTTATACCTGTTTTCCCTAGACGTAGTCCCATGCTTGTTTTTTTTTTTTTTTTGTCTTTGCTGATGCTTCATATCCTTTCACTGTAATAAATCTTAAGCCATGAGTATGACTATATGCTGAGTCCTGAGTCCTAGCGAATCCATATTCTTCCAGAGATGTCTATGCCTTTATCCAATGGGAACATACTGTACATATTGCTCCATATTTTGCTTTGCATATATAAAATATTTTGAAGACAGTTTGTATCAACATTCGTAGATCAAAGTCTTTTTTTTCATGCCTGAATAATATTATCTGCTGTGTTTTAGAATTTTAATATCCAGACCCCAATTAATGGACCTTTGTCATTTTTAGTCTTGCTATTACAAATCATGCTGCACCAAACATCCTTATACATTCATCTTTTCATATATTCATAAGTATCATTAGCAGGTTAAATTTTTAGAAGTAGAATTCTTAGGTTACAGGATATGTACACTTTACTCTTTCATACATATTACAAAATTGCCACCCACCAAAGTTGTATGAATTTTTACTCTCACCAACATGTAAGAAATGCCTGTTTCCCCACTTCCTTGTTATTTCCTTGTTGATAAATAGACTTTCTCTATTGAATTTCCTTACTGAAAACTCACCCTTGTTAGGTATACAGTTCTATGAATTTTAAACAAATGTATATAGTCATCTAACTACCCCCACAATCAAGATACGGAGTATTTCCATGATCTCAGAAAGTTCCCTCATGACCTTTTGCATTTTGTAGTCAGTCCTCTGTTCCTGAACCTCTACCCATTGATCTGATTCCTGTCCTTAGTTTTGCCTTTTCCAGAATACTGTATAAATGAAATCCTACAGTATATAGCCTTTTTGAGTCTGGCTTCTTTCACCTAGCATAATGCTTTTGAGATTCATTCATGTTGTTGCATTTATCAGTAGTTTATTCCTTTTTTGTTGCTGAGTAGAATTACACTGTATGATTGTGTCATAATTTGGGTACATTCACTAGTTGGTGGGCATTTGGGTTATTTTGAGTTTTGGGTGATGTTACAAATACTTAGGTACAGGTTTTTGTGTAGGCTTATGTATTAACTCTCCTTGGATAAATACTTAAGAGTGGGGTTGCCTGGTCATATAGCAATTATATGTTTAACTTCATAAAGGACTGCCAAACTCTTTCCAAAGTGGCTATGCCATTTTGCATCCCCAGTAGCAACATGAGAGTTCTAGTTGCTCCACATCCTTGCCAACATTTGGTATTATTGCGGGGGGGGGGGGGGG